TTTTAGTAATTAAAAAGTCTTCTTTTCTATTTTAATTGTGATTTTGATAATTTCTTCCTCAAATCACTTTTTTGAATTTTGATAATTTTAACGATTTTTTTATGAAGTTATAATTCACTTTTGATAGTTAATAAGATAATGCTTACTTAACTCATTTTCATGTAGTTTTCATAACTTAAATTTTAATAACGTAAAAATCACGTTTTTTTTTAGTTATGTCATTGAAATAAAAATGATGTAAAGACGTCTTAAAAATATTGTAATATCTCAAGTTTTAATTTTTTAGTCTTGATTTTAACACTTACTTCTTACGTTTTGATTAATTTGACGATTATTGCGTATATATACGACGGTTAATATATGTATGGTAATTGAATAAGTATAAGCAGAATCGCGAGATCGATTTTGACGATATTGATATTTGACGGTCACGTGAAAGCTGGACGTGTATGTAACATCGCGCAATTATAAGTTTCGCATCGCCTGCATAGCTAGCGAACGAAGGCCGTTTCGCTTGGATTCGATTGATCGCCGACGGGCGTTACCTCGTCTCTGGAATAATTCATGTATCCCTGAGTGTGAGAGCACACCAACGACGCCGACATAGAAAATCACCAGCGTCGATCTGGCGCCTAGTCATCGAAGAGATGTCAGATCGATCTATTCCGCGATGCATACCAATCGATGTATCCGTTCACGTAGTAACTCGAACGCGCCGCCGGCCTTTGTCTACTCTGTATGCTCGCTCAATCTTGATCCCTGCCCGATTTGCATGTCAGGCGGATTAATTTCGAAGCGATACGCTAATTTGCTTGCATTGCGCTCATGTCGCACCGAGGAATGAGGAGTTTCAGTCTTCCATGGGTAATAATCGTAGCTGTCTATGTGCAGGTAATACTTAGGGATATGAGCGGATACTATCTTAAGACAGGAAACACGCAGTCATCGCGCACGATTTAATATAGTCAATAAAATTTATTCATATTCTCATGGAGTTCTTGGGAATTTTCAATTTTACTATATATATATATATATATATATATACACAATATAAATTGAAATATTAAACAGTCATATTTCTTATATCTTTGTAGGATTGATATTTTAGTGAACCTGTATAATCCGCTTGATTCAGGTATTACGTTCTATCCGTATTTTCAAGACGGCCGTATATATGTAGACACATTTGCATGCCTATATTTGACTAGGATCATCTGCAGGTCTGTTTTTTTTTTTATTTCTGTACTAGACTACACTAGAACTCTCTTTCTCGCTTTGGCCAAATATCAAACATAATATATATCTATCTCACTTTAAATTCCAAAAGTGTACATCAGTTCAGCCACAGACCTTATATCGTAATATTATGAACGGACACGCGTCTAAGATACAGGCTGTCTTTAAAGTATGTATAGGACATATTTGTATCACAGTAACATATCTAATACATGTTACGAAGTTTGTACTCCATCTGACACGTGATGCGTATAAAATGCGCTTATTACATTTACAAATACTTGCCTAGTTACCGTCATTCGGAACTATCGTTTTATATGTACCAAAGTATACATAGTAGTTATGTACATAGAGAAAAACATAGTAACGGAAAACTATAAAGGCGGCAACTATACAAATTCGATATGTACAATAAATGTATATGTATGAATGAATATTTTATTTTTAATTGAGAAAAACAGTCCTTCCAACGAGAATGGACTAAATGAATTAAAATTTTTTTCTATCCGAATGCGTAATTTAAATAGCGAATACTTTTTTTTTTAATTTAATCAGATTCAATTGAATTCAATTAGAATTTATTTGAATGCAATTGGATTGAAAAACTGCATTTCCTATTTAAAATTTTGAATTGAACAGTATTCACAATGCATAGAAAAAGCTAATATTATTTTTAGATTGAAAGGTATAGAGATGTGCTCCATAAAATGCAATTTCTATAAATGCATAAAAATGCATTCAGGATTGAAAAGCATTAATTTTAACATTTGTGAATCAATATTTCTGAAAATTCGAATCAATTTCAATCCATTCTCGTTTGCTGGGTTAGGAACTAGCTTATTCAGCCCATCTATAATTTCCTATTTGAATCTTAGATTGCATCAACGTTACTTTAATTTTAAGCGAGGCTTAAAACTCTTTCCCTTTCAGTTTCCCTTTCTATCGGCTTTAAAAAAAAAAGAGATTTTTAAGTCTTGCTTAAAGTCAATTCCCTTACGAAAAAATATACCAAACTAGGCGTTAGCGGTTCGAAATGACACTTATAAATTGAGTGTTAACTTCCAAATAAACCTCCATCTTGAGGATTAACACTTAATTTGAATGATATTTCGGACCGCCAATGTCTAGTTCAGTGTATTTTTTCGTAAGAGAAAGTAAGTTGGTGCAATCGAGCCTCAATCATTCTCTTTTTACGTCTAACACACATTCTGAAGTATATGTAGGACTCTAGGACATCTCAGATACATCTTTTGAACTCAAAATCTTTTAAGCTCTTCGTACATTTCACAATAGCCTTAATTATAAATCCATAAATCCGAGTTCGATCCCATTCGCGCCTCACATGCGCAAAAAAATTATTTAAAAAAGAGTTTACTGCTCCATCTGTGTGATAAGTTAGAAAGTTTAAAGACTATTGTGAAATGTACGATTGCTGATAGTCCGAGCACCGAGTCACTCAGCTCGAATAAATATATATTTTTAAATTGCGAAACTATAAAATAATTTATTCAGCTTCTCGCGTGATATTAATTCTACATATAAAACTTGTATATTTGTCACCTTTAAGTTACCACTACTACGTCTCTTCTTTTGAGTGTATGTAAAGTCTACATGATTACGTGACATATCAAATTGCGATGTACGATTTACGAAAAATTACGCAAAATAGCTGATGACGCTGCGATTATAATATTTCTTTTTTGTTCGTGTGTAACAAAAGATAGCTTTAATCACACTTTTAAAATCTACTCAGCACACGAGAATGGATTAAAATGGATTGAAATTTTTTTCTATCCAAATGCGCGCGCACGCGTATTTTAAATAGCGAATACTTTTTTGAATTTAATTGGATTCAATTGGATATAATTCAAAATTTTGAATTGAACAGTATTCACAGTGCAGAAAAAGCATATTATTTTCAAATTGAAAAGCATAGAGATATGCTTCATGCAATTCCTATAAATGAATAAAAATGCATTCAGGATTGAAAAGCATTCATTTTAACATTCGTGAATCAATATTTCTGAAAATCCGAATCCATTTCAATCCATTCTCGTTTGCTGGATATTATTAATAGCACTTCTAGAAGAAAATTAATTTAGTTAGCTTCTTTGGAAGAAGCTATAGAAATATTTTTTCATTATTGATGATGTATCGATTAAATTATGACGGTCCTTTCCTTGAAAAGTGATACACATTAAAAGGTGCGTTGAGGTCGAAAA